GTGTGTGTGTGTGTGTGTGTGTGTGTGTGTGTGTGTGTGTGTGTGTGTGTGTGTGTGTGTGTGTGTGTGAGTAGGCGTAGTAGTTACGTACGTTACTACGTAGTACGTATATATACGTAGTAGTAGTAGTGTGTGTGTGTGTGTGTGTGTGTGTGTGTGTGTGTGTGTGTGTGTGTGTGTGTGTGTGTGTGTGTGTGTGTGTGTGTGTGTGTGTGTGTGTGTGTGTGTGTGTGTGTGTGTGTGTGTGTGTGTGATCTCTGGACACAAACTGCTCAAAGCTTGGCAAAGTGTGCTCAACACAAGATTTGTGTTACTTAGGGGTCAAATGTGCCAAAAGTGTGAAAAACTGGTGGTTGGATCAAACATGCAAAACATGATCCAGGTTAATTGCCTATATTAGGATAATATCATTATCAGTTTTTCTCACATTTTCTTTCTTTGGTCTTTTTTTCCCCTTTCTTTCACATTTCTTCATCTCAGGTGGTTCAACAGCAGAAGGCCGAATGCTCCCAGAAACTAGAAGGCCTCACCATGTGGCTGGCCGGAGCTGCCAGCTTATTGGTCGGTCAGAAAGGTGGAGCAGAGTCAGGTGACGTGAAGGTCTTGAAAGAGAAGCAGAAAAAACTAAAGGTAAGAAACCTTCGTCGTCACATCTAAAATATAAAGGGCACTTTACATCCTACGCACCATTTGTTTTTCGCTCAGTGAACATAATTTCTTCTTTGACTGAATCAACATTTCTCCAGGAATCACAGAAGGACCTCCAGGCCAAAGGGGAGGCTGTTGCCGAGGCTATCCGCTCTGTGGAGGAGCTCCTGGCAGACCGAGGAGAGAGTCTGAGCCCAGAGGAGAGGAAGAACCTCCAGGGGGCGCTAACCAGACTGAAGGAGCAGTACAGCACCCTCAAAGATTCAGCAGACACCTCACTGTCAGAGCTGGACACAGCCATCAGCACAACGGTTCAGCAGAACACACAGAGGGTAAGAAGAAGAGAGGTTATAGATGAGTATATTACATAGTACAAACTATTTTTAATATTGGGCTCGCCTTACCAATATCTTCACAGAAATGTGGTCTCATATTAGTTCTTGGGAAAGGTCCACAGAAAAAATATTTAGTTTCCTGAAAATAGAAATGGGCGATTGCATGGTCTTGTGCACACAGGAAAAACTGAGAGGATTAAGTCAAGAATTTCAAAAGGAAAGTGTAGTTTATGACACTTATTTAGCCTTTACCAAATATTTCAGCAATATGAAAATATTTGGATATTTCACTAGTCAATATTGTGATTTCATTTAAACTCTGATTAATTGTTCAGCTCAAGTGGAGGTGCTTCTTCAGGAACGCAGGAACATATTGAGTAGTGTCAGTAGTGGATATTTGAAAAAAAAAGAATTATACATGATAAAACTATTATTGTAAGTTATATATTTTATTATACAACTGTAAAAACAAACATCAACACTAAACATCAACACTAGATGTGCACAAAGACCCTCTTGAGTGTGCACAGATTCTGTTTTTCATTTAAAAACAAATCCCAAATAATGCATTTATTTTAATTTGTATGTATTATTCTTTTTTTAAATATATGTTTTCGGGCCACCAGTGCCTTGATTTAGGAGACAGAGATGAAAGGGGGTAGACGGAGGGAATGACATCTTTGAATAGTCCCAAACTGCGATCCCCTGAATGAGGACCGAGACCCAGTACTTGGGTTGCCAGCTATACCAGGCTATACAGCGGCCCAATTATAAAAAACAAATGTATTGTTGTATGAGGCACTTTGTTGACTTATTTTGTACTCATCCTCCCTTCCTCTCCTCTCCCTCAGGCTAAGGCTGAGGAGGATCTCCAGGAGACTCGGGGCCAGATAGACTCTCTGTTGAAGGAGTTATCTTCTCTCAACCAACCAGGCGGGAGAGGAGAGGGATCTGGAGACATGCCTGACACATCATTCTCACAGCCAGAGGGCGCTGTGATGTCACACACCGAGATGCTGCAGGTTAGAATCTCTACTGTTCATGTGTTTAGCACATTCAACTTGCATATTACCATCTAATGACCTTTGACCTCCCCCTCAGAATGAGCTGCAGCAGCTGCAGGCTCAACAGGCTCAGCTGCTCCAGATCACTCAGTCCACCCGCTCCCTTCTGGACCAGCCGGACTCCACCGTCCCTCCTGAGGAGAAGCAGCGTCTCCGGGCCGCCCTGGATCAGCTGCAGGCCCAGCACCAGGAGAGGCTGCAGAGCTGTCAGGTACTCCACATAAAGTCACAGCGATGCCTCAGGACTGAACTTATGCCCCCTGATCTTGGATTTCCTGTTTCGACCGCACCTTGCCCATCACTAAAATTGTATTAATATTTGCTAATGGTTAACTGACCGCTAATGCTGTAACTATTTATTCTAGGACCGCCTGAGGAAGTCTGAGTCTCTGAAGGACGAGCTGACGAAGTTCCTCCAAGAACACGGAGGTCTGGGTACCTGGCTGGAACAGAATGAGCAGGAGCTGCATTCCCTGGGGGAAGGAGAAACTGATGCACAAGGACTGAAGGGCAGGCTGGAGGAGCACAGGAAGGTACATGCAATAATAATATAATGGAATATAAACCATGCATTGTATAAGTTCATCTTTCTTTATATTTCAGCTCTTCAGAGAACTGTGCAAGTGTATAGTTGCTGTTTAACATCCTGAAGATTACCCACAAGGGGGAGCTGTTCACCCATGTCTGACAAAATGCACCTTTTTCTTTTAAAATAAATCAAATGTTTATCTGGCTTGAACATAACCCTTGTTTTACCCCCTGAAGAAAGAAAAGCACTGCTAAAATAGCGTGAACCTTGCTATGAGATTGGGAAAAGAGATGATCAAGAACTAACATTGTTTTGGTTTAAAATCTTGCCGAAAAATTAGAAGGCGGCCACAATCTGGCATTGCCTTGTCCGTTGCAGTATAAATACAGCCCTAATAATAGTATTGTACATTGTATTGTGCATGTCTCTTACCTGCAGGTTCAGACTGCTGCTGCTCTTACTCCCCCTCCTATTGGTCGGGCATGTTGCGATGAGACTCTGAAAATCCAGACTTTGTGGCTCTGCTTAATGTTATATTGGCTGCGCCTGGTTTCAGGTGCTTTGAACTAAATGTGCACAGAAATGTCTCTCTGTATGTGAGCCGAGTGCAGCTGAGTGAAAACACACACTGCCCTTTTTTTTACCTCTAATTATCCATGGAAGGGTGAGTTTCCTCGCTCAGTTTCCATACGCTCTGACACGCCGTGATTTACAGTAATCACACATTCTCATCTGAGAAACTCCACTAAAGCACTTCTGGATCATTTCCTTTTAAAAGTCCCTTGATATTACATTTGTAACAGCTTCTATCCTTTCCCAGAACATCTGATCTACCAACCTGCTGGTCATGACTATGCTTTCCATTTCCATTTTTTTTTAATGAATATGTCATTATCCTGATTGATCTCCTGCACATTTCCCCATCTGACCTGTGTCTGTATTTCCAGCTTGCTGAGGATGTAATCTGCCACAAGGCGGACCTGCGCTTCGTCTCCATCTCGGGTCAGAAGGTTCTGGACTCCGTTCAAGGAGCTCTGGAGCAGGTCGGGGGTTCAGACCCCGCTCTGGACAGCACCAAGCAGCTGGTGACTGACAAGCTGCAGGACGCTAACCACAGATACACCAGCCTACACACAAAGGTGAGGGAGGCTAGCAGTTTTTATGAATGGTGCTCAAATAAGGACTTTCTCACACCTTTCTCTTGACTTTGAACACACTTTGAAACGTTTTTTGGTGTGTTCAGTCAACAGAGTTGGGCGGCCGTTTGTCCGGCCTGCTGGAGAGGTACCAGCAGTACCAGGATGAGGTGGTGTCCCTCCACTCGTGGCTCAGCACTCAGGAACAGCACCAAAGCATAGCCAAGCCCAGCGGAGACACCGACCCCAAGAACTTGCAGGACACACTACGACAAGTGCAGGTGAAGCACGGATTATAAACTTTCACATAAACAAGTCACAAAGCGAGAACAAAGACGCGCAGAAAAAGAGCACTTACACTACGGAAAAATATGAATGAGTCATCTGTTTTTGGCGCTACATCACGTTGAGTTCTGACATTTTTTTAAATCAATGTCTAGGTTAAAATTATAAAATGGAAATGATGTGTGGACTCTTTTCTTTTTGTTTGTATTTTGTATAGTACATTTTTTTTTTTCAACCAATAAACCCCATAGAACTCGCTGCCCAAAACCTGACATACTAGTTAGGTTCATATTAACCACTTTCAATGATCCAAAAGCTCTTACACATTTGATAATTATACATATCATTCACATGTGATTGTCAAATACAACCCAACAGAGATAATAGCCCTGATATAACAAAACTGAAAAAAATATAAAAAATGAACTGTCAAGTTGTATCAAGATATTTATAAAAAGGGCCCAAAGACTCTGAAACCCCAATACTAATGAAAGTAACAAGTGTGTCCTCTCTTTCCTCAGCTGCTGCAGGACGAGCTGGCTGAGCGCTCAGTGCAGCTGGAGAAGGTGAAGAGAGCCGGGAGAGACCTGGCCAGTGCTGAAGAGTCTCCATCACTGAAGGCTGTGGACATCCTCTGTGCTGCAGGTGAGAAACTCAGTTCCCCTGTTTTAATACATTCATGTAAAAATACCATTATTGAGCCAAGTCACAACTAGGGCTGCAACAAACGACTAATTTGATAATCGATTAATCTATCGATTAATCGAATATTCTGACTATTATGCCATGCACAACGCTCTTATTTAGCCATCAACTTTTAGATTTAGCTTGAGGTTGTTTTAGGCATGTGGAAACTAACAATGAAGACAATAAAGATGAATACTTGATTCAAAAATACATATATTATTAAATTAACTAAACACATTTTGAACAAAATTAACATTGCTTTTTATTTAAATTAAATAGGCTACATAATATTTACAGAGAAAGAAACAACAGTGTTTTAACAAATCGTATTGAATAATGTGATGACAGAACTGTAAACAGAATAGCTAAAACTTTAACAAACTAAATAACTCAGTTATCACTAACCCATGTTTGTATAATGTAGTTAACTCTGTGTGTTGCTGATAGCATACATAACTCCTGACGAAACGTTACTCGTGGATGGGGCTACAGAGCTACTAGAAAGACAGTCGAACCCGGTGCATTCCTCCGTCTGAATGTGGTGCACTTTTGCAAGATGTTTAGACAAATTGCTTGTGTTACCGCCCTTACATGCTAAACTCTTATTTAGACCCTCCAGAAAAACGCGGGCAAAAATTCTTTATTATGCGGGCTAAATTCCTTGATTATGCGGGCTAAAATCCTTGATTATGCGATTAAACATGCGGGGTTTTTATGTGATTTTATGCGTTGAAATTGCGGGAAGTTGCGAAATATGCGGAAAGTTGCGAAATATGCTAAATATGCGGGGGAAAAGAACAACCATTTTTTAATATTGGGCTGTCTTATTTATTCTCTCCCACCCACAACCTGCCACTAACGTTAAACCCCTTTACTATTCAATTAAACACATTCAATGTTTATTTATTGTAAAAGCAATTGGGGTATTTTTAAACACACACACACACA